CAGCCTCTACTACATTGTAAGGTCCTGTCTCAACAAAACCTAACCAAACCAAAACAAAAAGTGGCATTTAAATTGAAATCTAAAGGATGAGTAAACATTTAGTGACTGGAAGAGCCGGAGTCGTTCCATCCAGAAAAACTACCAAGTCCAAGTACTAATTTTTTTTCATGTAACCCAGGCTAGCCTCAAACCCACTATATAGCAAAGTTGGTCTTGAACTAGTTGCTGAGCTTCCTGCCTCTGGCTCTGAATGCTGAGATTACAGGTCTGTACCACCGTGAATAGTATGTTCAAAAACCTCACACACAAGGAAAACTCCTGAGTTCCATAAGGCCAGGATCTGTAGTACCAAGTAAGGAGGGGTAAGGCAAGGCTGGGGAGGTATACAAGGAGGAGACTTTGTCAATCGGCACCTGAAAGGGTTTCAGCCGATCAACAATCTGTGTCATACAGACGAATTAAAGACATTATTTAAGCTGCCCAGTGGATAAGATGGCCCAGGGAGGAGGCATAGAACAGAGAAGATACCACCACCATCATCAAAAACAAGTGATAAGCAGAACAAAAACAAAAACAGACAAAAACCAGAAGGGGACTGGAGATATGGCTTAGTGCTTAAGAGCACTGGCTGCTCTTGCAGAGGACCTGAGTTCTGTTCCCAGCACCCACATGACAGCTAACAACCATCAATAACTCCACTTCCAGAAGATCTACCATCCTCTTCTGGCCTCTGAGGGCAATGCATGCAACAGTGCACTTACATGCATGCAGGCAAACCACTCGTGCACACAAAATAAAAATAAATAAACCTCCCAAAAAAAGTTTTTTAAAGAAGCAGAAGGGACCACAGGAATTGAAAGAAACTCAAGAAACCATAATCTTAAGAAAGAAAAATTCCAGAAAGAAGGCTTAATTTGCCATTGATGTTAGCAATTGGAATGACCTTTTTGTAAACATCACCGGAGGAGTAAACTATATATTGGGTTGCATTAAACCAATTGCATCAGGAACTGGGGAGTTGCCTCCATGGGTGAAGTGCTTCCTGTGCAAGCATGGGGACATGAATTCCAATTCCCAGCACCCATGTAAAGTCAGGCATGGTGGCAAGTGCCTATAACCCCAATGCTGGGGCTGTAGCAGACAGGTGGACCCCCCAGCCCAGTCAAAACAGTGAACTCCAGATTCAAGAAGAGACTTCCTCTCAGTAAGATAGAGAGCAATAGGGAAAAATCAACTTCTGGCTTACACACACACACTCACATACACAGTCGGTTGCATGAATGCACATCTCTTCCTTTCAGACTCTACATTGGTGTCTATCAAATGGATTTTCCCAAGTGCAGATAACCCTGCTAAACTTCACACCTGTATAATCCACTACTCGGTATCTCCACTTGTCTCAAAGATTAAACCCAAGGTTCCAAAACCAACAGTCTCTCCACCCAAACATGGTCATCCTGCATCTCAGCAAATAGCACCTCCCTCCTTCCACTGCCTCAGTCCATCCTAGAGAAGCCCCTTTTTCATCAACATTCCTATATCAAACTCATTTCTGGCCACATCTTGTCAGTTTTTCCTCTCCTGTGCATGCCTGTCTCCACTGCCAACATCTGAAGTCTAGCTACTGTCTCTCTCACCTGAACCAGTGTAACCTCCTGTCTTCTCACTTCCATCTGAGCATCCTTCTACCACCGCACCACACACCTTTTTAAAATACAGAATCAATTTGAATTCCTTACTTCAACTTTTCAATAGCTCCAAGGTGCTAAAGGCAAAAATCAAAATTCTTCTTTTGTTTTTTTTTTTTTTTTGGTCTTTTTTTGGGGGGGTCTTCTTGTAGTCCCAGCTGTCCTGGAACTCACTATGTAGACCAGGCTGGCCTTGAACTCACAGAGATCCGCCTGCCTCTGCCTCCCAAGTGCTGGGACTAAAGGCATGCACCACCATGCCTGGCTGAATTCTTTCTTTTTTAAAAATATTTTATGTATATGAGTGTAATGCCTGCATGTATGTAAGTGCACCCATGTCATGCATTGCCTGCAGAGGTCAGAAGAGGATGTCAGATCCCCTGGAACTGGAGTTGTGGATGGTTGTTAGCTACCATGTGGGTGCTGGGAACTGAACCCAGGTCCTCTGAACAGCAGACTCTTAACTCTTAACCACTGAGCCATCTCTCCACTCCCAGAAAATAAAAATTCTTTAAATGCTCTAGATAGCTGTGGTTAAAAACCGAGGCCTACCCCCTTCTTGTTTCAGTGATCCCAGGAAGGTGCTCTCTCAACCTCTCTGCTTAAAACAGGCTTTGTTTTCCTCTCCAAGTTACTGTAAGAATTAAATAAGCTGGGCATGCACTCAGGAGGCAGAGGCAGAAGAATTGCACCAGTTGGAGACCAATTTGGTTTACATAGTGAGCTAGTGCATGCTAGTGCATGCCTGGCTAGCCAGGGCTCGCTACATAATGAGGCCTACCTAAAGAAAGAGAAAGGGAGAGGGTAGAGAGAAACAGAGACAGACAGAGCCCAAAGGATGTAAACAGCAAGAGAGAAATGTGTAAACTACAAGAAATACATAGTTTTCAATTATGTGACTGCTGTTATTATTCTCTGACTGGTTGATGCTTTTCATATTTCAGATCTCAGGTAGAATGATCTGACAGAGCTCTCCTTTTATCCCCTTACTCCTTAACCATGTTACTACTCTGTTAAACTCTCTCATAGCATCTGAAGTTTTCATTAATAATACTAATTATACTTTGTGGTCACAGCTGAGTTGTGACCCCCACCAGGGTCCTGAAAGACCCTAGCACAGTGCCTGGCACATAAGTCATAATGTTTTTTTGGTTTTGAGTTTTTTTTTTGTTGTTGTTCTTTTTTTTTTGTGTGTGGTCTTTTGTTGAGACAGTGTCTCCCTGTAGCTCCAGCTGGCCTGGAACTCAACATGTACACCGGCTGGCCTTGAACTCAGAGATCTGCCTACTGCCTCCCGAGTGCTGGGACTACCATGCCCAGTATCAAAAGGTTTTTGAGTGAATGCTTGGTGGGATAGACCTGAAGAAGTGGAACCAATGCAAATGACTCAAGAAGTCTGTGCATGGAGAGTATAAGGGCACAGGGCACAGGGTGTAGCTCAGTGTACAAGACCATGGGTTCAATCCCCAACAACAAAGAATAAGGAAAATACATGCTGGGCATCAGGATTTCTTATTTTTAAACTGGCAGATACTGGAGCGGGTTTCAATGCTCACCAGAAGGAGTGAGGGCCATGAGGGTGTGGGAGGGTATAAGACTTAAAGCAGAAGCCAGAAGAACCCATCTCAGATGGAGGGAGGGACACCTCTTCATGATAAAGAAAGAGCTGGAGATTCAGCTATAGCTGTGGGTTTGATGGTACAGCCAAGACCTTTCCATGAGTCCTGGTTAACCTAAGCAGCGAATTTGGATTCTTTGAGCAGCTCAGCATGCTTGATGGATATCACTCCATTCACTTTTGCAAGTCAAATGAAAAGGAAGCAGAGGTTTTCTTTGTCATTGACTCTACTGATTCACTACAGAGCAAAATAACAAGTTTCCAGAGCAACCCAGTTGCAGTTTCGGAGCTGAGACAAGTGATCTCAGTGTTCTCTTTACTGGGCATGCTTCCCTTCCAAATTGGGAAACAGTACAGTAAAGGAAGAATATGGTAAAATAATGGTTGTCAGGGACTGAGTGCTTACTATGGGCTGGATGCTGCTCTCGTACTTTGCCTGCAATACTTTACTTGATCCTCATATCTTACAGGTGAGGAAACTGTCTGAAGAAGGTAAGCACGTATCTAAGGTCATACAACAAAACTAGGCTGTCATTATTTATTTTGGGTTTTTTAAGACAGAATCTCACTCTGTAGCCCAGACTGTTCTGGGAATCTTCCTGCTTCAGCCTCCAGGGTGCTGGGATTACATGTGTGAACCACCACCCACAGCTCCAAACTAAATATTAATCCCAGGGAACCCAAGGCTTTGTGTGTGCTAAGCAAGTGATCCGCCACTGAGCTAACCCAGCCCCAAAATTGATGCTTGTACTTATTTTGCCACACTTCCTCTGAACAGACTGGAAAGGCGAAAATAGGGTACCATGAGCTAATTCTGTTAACCAAGACTTTCACTTAGGTGTCAGAATATTATTTTGCTCATCAATAAAATGAGAATGAAAATTAGAATGCTCCTTTACAAGGCTTTTTGAAGGACTATGAAATGTGAGCATGGGAAATGACTCTACAAAGGCTATTATTTATGCTAATCACAAGGTCTGACATCCTTACCTCCTAACTGGGTCACAGTCTAACAGGCTACTACTGTTGAGACCCTCAGTTCCTGCAGGGTGTGGTGGCACACGTCTTTAATCCCAGCACTCAGGAGGCAGAGGCAGGAGAATCTTTGTGTGTTCAATGCCAGCCTGGTCTACATAGCTAGTTCCAGGACAGTGGGGCTACAAGGAGACCCTGTCTCTCCCCAAACAAAAAAAAAAAAAAAAAAAAAAAAAAAAAAAAAAAAAAAGACCCTCAGTTCCCATAACCAGTGAACAGCAGCAGTTGAATCCTCCAGCTCCTTTGCCCAAGTGTCCATCAATGACCATTATGTGCACCTTGGCCTGAACATTCCAACACAGTCTTACCTCTGGCTCAGTGGAAGCTTATGCCCTTGCCTGAATGATTCCATGGTCTGAAGGAGGGATTTTTTTTTTTAATCACATATAGCCTAAATTCCAGCTAATGGTGAGGTGCTTCAAAGGACTCCAAATTCCAGTTTAGTGGTAGAATCTTGGATATCAGAACTGGAAGTCTTTAATGCAAGTCCCCAGTCCCTCTCCCAACCCATTTTATAGACTAGGAAAACCAAGGCTAGGTAGATGAAATGATACAACTGCTTGGGGGTGGCAACAAGATTTTGTTTTGCCTTACAGATTTTTTTTAATGTTCATTTAACATAGTAATTTCACTTTGCCAAAATCTGGAAAGTAGCTTAATTGTATTTAGTTGTTTCAGTTATACATACCTTTTCAGAAAGGAACAAAATACTACAATTCAATTATCAATAAAATCATTATAAAACCTAAAGCCCAATAATTGGCTGAGAGAGCATTCTTCTGTTGCTTGGTACTTGGCCGGTTCAGACATTCCCCCAGGGATGAAGGGGTCTACCTTTTAACCATCGGTAATGTAACCTAAAGGCTCTGTACAAAGCCCACCCTTTATTACCGGCTCCTCTCTGAGCTCAGCTCTCTAGTCTTGGAAGAACAGTACTTTCAGAGCTGGAGTGGGGGTGGGAGTGTCACATGACATAACGCACTTTTAGCACCCACTGCTAGCACCCACTCTGCATTTGCTCTGATTTGGGCATATTTTCTTCGTCTCCTCAGCAGAGAGCAGTTCACCTTGGTTAATGCCCTTAAACCTTAGACCACTCAGCTGCTCATAAACCAAGAAGAAACCCAGCCGTGTCAGGCCTAGAAATGTCCATCCCTGCCCCCAACCCCCTTAAGACAGTGACTAGGCCAGCATTCTCTCGGTTGATAAATCAGAGGAGCTGAGGAGCCACCGCGATGACGGCTCCGAGCATCTGATTTGTGAGAAGGCGAAATCTCCAGGAGCACCATGGAGATGCTTTTGGAAAGCGAGCCAGCCTACCTGCAGGAAGGAGGACGCGAGAAAGAGAGCATGGCAGAGAGAAACGTTTAAGGGAGATGGCCTGGAGGTGGCCAAGGAGGAACATCTGAAAAGGAAGCAAAGGCCGCATCTCGGGAAACCTCGGAGGTGAGTGACATTCAAAGGAGGGCGCATCTCCGGGATGCGGGGTTGAATCCGACCACGGGCGCGTGGATGGGACAAAGGTGCAGCGTCCAAACCGGGAAGACAGACCCCGCTAACTGTGGGTGGTACCCAGACGCCCGAGGGGTGACGCCGGGCGGGCGAGGACCTGAAGGCGGGGGTCAAGCGGGGCACCCAGGCGGAAGACGATGGGGGGTCGGGAGCTGGCGGGGACCGCCCCCGCCCAACCGGCGCCTTCGCCGGGGGGAAAGTCAGCGACCCCAGGCCGGGGAGCTCCGCGGAGAACGGAGAGGGGCGGCGGTTGCCATGGCGCTGGGTGGCGAGGGGTGACGCCGGGCGGGCGAGGACCTGAAGGCGGGGGTCAAGCGGGGCACCCAGGCGGAAGACGATGGGGGGTCGGGAGCTGGCGGGGACCGCCCCCGCCCAACCGGCGCCTTCGCCGGGGGGAAAGTCAGCGACCCCAGGCCGGGGAGCTCCGCGGAGAACGGAGAGGGGCGGCGGTTGCCATGGCGCTGGGTGGGGAGGGGGGTGACTGGG